TACTGTAATGATCTGCATTCAAATACATACGAGACCTAGAATATGTAATGATACAACGAGATCTAAACACATAATAACAAGATAAATCTTTAGATCCAAATAGTTCTGTAATCATTTATGTCTGTCAAATAATTCATAGTATTTGCCTAATCTTATACAAGACTCAATAATTGGGTACTTCTGTTTTTTCTCCTAATTAACTTCCCAAGAATATTGAATTAAAGGCCTCTACTTTATTACATTTTATTTTAAAAAAAAAACAAACTTTGTTTTGTTCTATTTAGCTTTCGGGAAAGACAAAAATGATACTCCCAACTTTTTATCGGTTTGACACAGGGAAACGAGACAACATAAAGACGTATCGCGATCGAGTGGCAAGAGTGAAGAGCAGGTTGCGGTGCAAGAGAAGAGAGGAGTAAGCGGACCGAGAACGAAGAGGAGGTTGAGTTTCATAGACTGAAAATTCTTGAATGTTCTTGCTGGAATATTTTGCCTCCTTTGATTTACCTTACGCCAAGTTTATGTTGCATTAAGGTTTCGGCTAACCGTTTTTGGTTGCCGAATTGCTCACGTAATGTTTGATGAAATGCCTCTAAAGAGCTCTGCTTTGATTCTTAGTTCGTAGAAATCTTGCTGTTTCCTTAGTTGATATATGGGACTAACGGGTGGGTCTGTGGTGATGCATGTTAGTGAGTATGATATTCAAAGTTTTTCAAGCCTTGGCTTCTCTTAATCTCTACCCTGATTTATGATCTTCTGATCATGGCATTTCACTATATGTTTCTTTCTTTTTTTTTTTTGGTTTAATCTTGCTATTCTGTTTGCTCCTGCAGTTTAGTCTTCTGTTAGATTCGCATTTGTGTTAGTTCGATGCGGAGAAAATCACCCCATCACGTTTTTAACAAAATATCCAAACCAATGTTAGTATCCTCACATGGATGATGCAGGTCTTAGAACTGAATTAACAGGCTTGTCTCTACATTTATCTCTCATACCTCATCATGCATGGATGGTTCAGATTGTTGTGGAATGCCAATACCACCTCTTTCATGGTGCTTGGTTATCTCTATCCCCCCGAATCCCACACATGATGAATCTTGAGGATGTCATTCTTGTACTTTTTCAGCAAGTACTTTTTCTTTTACTGTCTTGATTTTAATACCTTCCAATCTTGCAATACAAACTCGCTTTTAGGAGCTTGAGATGGCTTCATTTAACTTACAGCTTGTGTACCAAAGGGGCAATATCTCAAAGTTATAGCAGATATAGGGCTAGTCACCATAGCAGTTGTGGTTACCTCTATCTTGGAATGTTAAAGTCACGTCATTAAGTGTTTTTTTTTTTTTTATATGGACCTGTTGACCAATGAGGGGATTCACTTTTGGTTCAATTTTGTCTTTGTGTGTCTCTGTTGCGCTCGGGCATGTTTTGTCAATTGATTACAGTTTAACTCTTGGTTCACTTTTCTCCAGCAAAGGAAGTCATCAATGCATGTTTTATTATAATTCCCATTCACAATTGTACGATTGAATGACCATTTCAAGGGTTCAGTTAGGAATTAACTTGCAGTCATTTGGCTGCCTAAGAGGATGCATCTGACTTTGTTGATATTTTTGGCAACCCACTGTAGTAGATACGTTGGCAAATGCTTCTTCAAGTTTTGTATTCCTTTATAGTATAAGTAAAAGAACATTGGTGGTAACAAAACATGAAGAAAGATTGATGATCTTGTTTGTCACCTTTAGTTTATTTCAATTATGGAGCTTGTAAACCATGTCTTTTTCCTTTTTCTTATTGTCATTTTGAATGATATTTGCACACCTGCACTTCAATTAAGGCACGGACAAACAAACAAAAAAATCAATTTAGCCCTAGTATTATTTCTCAGTTTCTTCCTTGCTGTTTTTCTGAATTAGTGTCTTTGAACTCTTTTTGTGTCTTTGATCCAACCCTTACTTAGATTGGCAGCACATTTTTGAAGCTTAAATGGTTTCTTTAAGAAAAAAGTTTCAGATGTCTTGGAGTCACGATTTTGACATTTCCTTCTTATGGTAGCTGGTAGGCCATTTATTGCATACATCTTCTAATAATCTCATGCTATTTCTCTTAACTATCATATAACCATTGGTTATTTTGTTTTTGCTCTTTCGGTTTTCCATTTGTTTGAACTGTGTGTATGCGTATATAAAGAATGTTAGGAGTGAAGGATACCAACTTTCCACAAGATTATGACTACTGTTTATTTTGAGAATCCAAGAGGACTTAATTAATGTAGTAAGTTAACCTGGATTATATTTTATTTACTGTCTTATGTATTGGTTATTCTTATTGATAAAGTAAAAGGTATTATGGCATTGCCTTGATACCAAGTCAATCTCTCTACCATAGCCAATAAGATTGATCATAAAAACTTTCTTATTCACATCCTATTCTTTGTGCTACCAATTTAGACACTTAGGTTAATGACGATGAATCTATCACAGGTATGTTTCTTCTTCTCTCTGATGATTGCTGTGTGATCTCAACAACTACTTTGTTTTGATCCGAATCTCCAACAGAATGGACCTCTCTCCATTCAAGCAAGACATTGATGACCTCATCCATGAGTTTTCTGAGGTAATAAAATGTGTCCTTTTGCTCTTCCTGCTTTAATCAATGTGTTTAAGTGTTGATGAAAAGAGATTCCTTCTGTTTCTTACTTCAAGTTTTTTAACACCTCTTGCTTTTGTGGAATATTTGTAGGGTGAATCATTAGAACTGGCTGCCATGAAGAAGGTTTGGCTTTCCAGAAAGTTTTCTTACATCTATGAGGCTCGTCCTTCTGCTAACTTGGCCTTCTTTATGCAGTCATTGTATGCTCATGCAATTGGTAAGCTTTACATTTGCTTATTTATTAGTTTGTTTCTTTTAGTACTCTGTGGCCCCCCCGCCACTGCCCCCCGATGTTGTTATGCACTCAGTTTGCCTCTAGAATGTAACAACTGAACTTCATTCCTCTTGCCAAAATTGTTCTTTGTAGTGTGTTTTACTTACGACTAATCTAGAGGATTTCCCTTTTTTATTATTTTTTGCTGGTTTAGAAGAAGATTATGGTCCTCTGTTCAGTGAGAATTTTGTGATACATTGTTGAATAAAAAACTTTATCATTTATACTGTCTGGCTCTTATTCACCGTGTCTATAGGGCTGTCTAATCTATGTGATACAGAGTGGGGGATGTATTTTGAATTCTTCACTCAACTGGTATGTAAGAAATTTTTCTGTTATCCATGTTATAAAAAAACCACAAAGCTGCCATGAGCAACAATGTGCTGGATGACATCGCATCTATAATTTCTTGGAACATTTGTTTGCTCAAATCAATTTTTTGGCAACTGGACTTATGATATTACTCTTGTTGTGATCTTTTTCAGACTATTTAAATGAACCTGCTATTTTTTCCTTTATATAATTTAGAAAGGTGGACCTCTGTAAAAGTCATTTGCTTTTTATTTTTTCTTCTTTATCTTTCTATTTTTAGGACTGGTGTTTCCACTACCTTGATCTTTTTCTTGATTTCTGTCAGCTTACAATTACGCACCCATCTGTAGGTCACATGGTTTGTGATGCTTCTTTGTCTCACAGACTGGGAGGGCTCTATTGCCTATACTGCCTTCATGAGACTCAACCGTTCAAACCACCTTTCAGAATTTATCTCTCTCTTGGTAAGCTGTAATTCTTGTACTAATTGAATGAGCTTAATTAGTTGTAATTTGTCTTGTTCATAGTTTAACTTGTTTAACTTTTTTATAGTTTTTTTGTCTACATTAGAGTTTTCTTTTTGACCCATCCAAAGAGCAAATAACAAAATACAGACTTATTTTGGAAGTCATTTTTCGTGTTTTCTTTTTCCAATGTAATCTTTACATCAGAAAGTATTAACATTAGTGGTGCAGCTATGTACATATAAAAAAACACATGTACAGTTACTGATTGAAAAGCAGTTTCTTTCCAATTATGAATACAGAGATTGTTTTCCACTGTATTTATGCTTTCAAATACCATGCTAAGTTAACATGCAAAGTTAAGATAAAATACTTTAAAGTAATTTTCTTTTATGATTGGAATTTATAGATTTTCTTGAAACATGTTTCTCTTTGGGAAGCTCTTTTAATCCAATTATAGTGGATGGTTAGGACTATCTTCCCCATCTCTGGTTTCTAATGCTAAGGCAATTAACTATAAGAATGATTAAGATGTAAGTTTGAGGCTGCTTTATTGTCTCTTTCTCTTCATATTTTTAATCTTATCTTTATTTGCGTTGATTTCATTTCTTCCCTGACAGGAAAGCTGATGAAGCTAAAAGATCTTGTTGTTGAGGCAAAGGATAAGGATATAAAGGTAGTAGCTGCTGTGGTCAAAAGGATGCTAGAGAAAAACATGTTTTTGTTTGGGTCTGTGGAAATGATTGAAGGTTCTGTTGCTGAGACACTTAACCAACTGACGGAGTTACAGAATGCTCGCGTGCAAGTTGCGTATGAGAAGTATGTTGCTTATGTACTGATCTCAATTGATATTTCCTTTGTTTGTGAAAATGGATCATTTCAAATGGTGTTGAGACATCTGCTTTTTTATTTTCACTACCAGGTTATTCAGTGATGGAAAAATTGATGACTTCCTTCACTTGGACCTGGTAAGTTAATATAAAGAGCAAAAGCCTCCTCAAAATTAAATTTTGAAATTTGGTTTGCTGATTTTCTCTTCGTTTTTTTCTTCTAAGAGTTACCTTATGAATTGATCTGCATTGAGTGCATGAATTATTGTCACTCATTTCTGGACCAGGGTACAGAATTTGATGTGGCTGAGATGAACAAATTGTCTACAGAATATGCTCAGGCCAAGAAAGGAGCAATTGAAGGTACATCATCTAAACTTATACAGTGAGAAGATGTACAATTGCAGAATATTCACTGTCTTAGTAAGAGGCCACTCGGTTAGCATTATCTTTTTTAGCTTGGAAGAGAGGAAGTAGGCAAAGACTAAACTCTTGAAAGTAAAAAATGTCTCGTTAAAGGCCACATGGTTGATGAGTTATTGTAAAAGAGTACTTCATAAGTTAGAAAATAATA